TGGTGGATAAGCGAAAACGGTCAGTGTCTGGTGGACCCAGTTCCCAACGTGGGTGGAGGAATCAACGAGTGAAGTTCACGGGAACAGGAACGCAACAACGGCGGTGCCAGTAGCAGCGATAGGCGAGTGATCAGGAGGTGACTGCACCTCGGTGAGCCATCCCGGCCGTGAGCGACTGGCACAGCGCGGAGTCTCTTCAGCCCCCGCGTTGAGCGGAAAAGAAAAACAGATCCGCAAAACTGATGGCGTGTAAAGGTGGAAGCCTTTTTTTTCCCATGCAACACCGAAACAACAACAACAACAACAACAACAAAAACCCCACAAGCACGCAAAATGTCCGGCCATCCCTCCCGAATCACACAGCGGAGTCGCTAATGGGTCCAAGTTTTCTGCGCGCTCTCTCTCTCTCTCTCTCGTCCCACACCAATCGGGGTTGTTCAGTTTTGGGCGCTTGCTTCTCGTAAATTGGGACGCACGCGTGAATGTATCCATTGCTTCGCCTGATTAAACGGCGACGTGGGATTCGCAGCTGCGGTGGCATGGAGTTTGTCCGCAACGAGGTTCACGTGTCGTTGACGCGATAAAAAAATAATAATCAATCCGATTGATCGTGGGTAGCTATGCGAATATCAAGGTATATGCCTTCCGCCTAACTGCACTCCCCACATCGGCACGACAGAGTGGTGTTGCACTGCCCTGTAATAAAACGTAACATTTTAATGAATTGTTTGGCGATGCTGCGTTGGCGGTGTTGTGCAAGAACAGTTCACGGACAAAAATCACTCTCATCAAAACTAAGCAATATGCCCTGTTTAAAAAGTGTAAGTAAGGAAGCATTCATAGAATTAACTTTTCATGAGTCCCCAGAGGGTTAAGTCCAGTCTCCAACCGTTATCCCCTCAATCTCTCTGGCCACTCCGTGACTGTGGTTTTAAGAGGGACCACTCGCCAAACAACATTGCCGATTATATATGTATATATTTATATGAAGGCAGTGTTGTTGAGGAGTGTGTTAAGGTTTTATTTAACGATTTACTTTAGATTTGTGTCGCTGATGACTGACCCTATCACAGGTTCAACTTCATCAACGGCACTGTGTTACGACGACAACAACAATAATAATCAGAAAACGACTCACGTTATCGCCGACAAATACATCAGCAGGATACCATTCTGCTTAACAACCATTGTTCTTCTTGGCAGAGAGAACGTTACGATGTTCTGTTCACCCATGCGACGATACACGTAACAAAGTTGCAAATATTTTCGTGATACTGTGCTGGCAGCGGGGCGGGAGCACAAATTAAATTAAAAAAAGCCACTCGAAGCATCCGCACACTCACCCTTTTAACCTCAAAGGAAAACAATATCTCATAGGTGACGTTTACAGGCAACAGCTATGAAGAGTGGCAATGCCGAGCGATAAGCCTCATTGCTCGCTGTTGCCCTTTCGGTGCCGTAAAGAAGGGCCATTGCCCCGAAACGTCGCCTCTACCGTGCGCCGGCGACAATTCGTGGCCGGCGGTTACCGCCGCGGAGGCGATGGCACGCCGCGGAATCCGTCACCACCGCCGCCGATCACTCATCCCGCCCATTTATCTCACGCCGTACGCGCGCCGTCAAGGAACGCTCGCGCGAACGCGAGCGAATCTCTCGCGCGTTCGCGCGAGCGTTCCGCTCCGCGCATCGTCGTCGCGGGCGACCAGCTCCGGGCGCGCGGACTAAATTCCCCCGCGCGTTAGCACCCGACAGCAACTTGTTCCCGAGCAGGGCTTGCGTGGTGCCAGCTGTTATTTACAACAACAACAACAAAAAATATATATCATCAGCGAGCGATTAATTGTGACGCCGACGTTCCTATTCGTCCCTTCTCTTCACTCTTAAAGCGGTCTCTGATTCAAAGTGTGCGGATCTAATGAGGCGGCCCTTACTGGTTGCTCTGCCCGATGATAATTAGTGCTAGCCAAGGTGCACTTTGCACGTTATAGGTTTGGGGGGGGGGGGGGGGGGTTACGATAACTGTGGGGGGAGAGGACAGCGGTGGCGCTGGCAACGACGATTGTCGTGGCTGAGGTGGTGTTGGTGGTGTTGGTCTCAGTGGCGGGGGTGGCATGGGTGTTGGGGTAGGGTGAGAAGAGACGGTGTGTGTGTGTGTGTGTGTTTGGGGGGGGGGGGGGTAGTTTAGGGTGGCGCGGAGAGAGTGTGAGAAAATGCTAATTACAGACCTAACCGCCCCTGCTGAGAAACCGTGCAATTCACCGTAATGGTGCGACTGCCTGCTGGCTGTCTGCGGACAAAGCGCATTGTTTTTAAAGAAGGGAGACTTGGGATTCTTGAGATTCTCAGGTGGGAAATCCAAAGGGGATGGGAAACCGAAGAGCGGGCATCCTTAACGAGGCAACAAGAGAAGGCCCGATGCCTTAATGAACGAAAACAACCCGCAACTAAATAACATTTTAATACCGCAGAATTTTTAGATTTTTTTTTTTAACACCACCCCTTCCTCCCCACGCTAAACAAAAGATCCCCATTTAGCCCCGCAGACCGTCGGGGCAAACTGCTCTTAGCGTGCACCGTGCCAAGGCCGGCACGGCACAGCGAGGCGGAAGGTAGCGTGATTCGGTGCCGATGCTTACGCGGAATGGCAGATACTCGGTAAAAGATGAGCTGACCGAGCGAGGTTCAGATACCATTCTCCACAGATGTCCGGGGGGGGGGGGGGGGTGGGGGGGGGCACACATCCAATGCCGGTCACGAGGAATCATATGAACCATTGTATCACTGCTACAAAAACTGACATCGCCCATATAGACGTACCAAATATTGGGGGCTTGTACAGTTAGCGAGCACCTATTAAGACTTCCAATCTGAGTCAACCTAGGGGAGGCCCATGACCGGTTCAGATAATCATCACTGGTGTGTGCCATGAGAGAGAATCGAACCCAGGTCGCCGGATTTGTAACGCAAACGTGCTACACTGCCGCTCCCCACAGCACACAAAGACAAATATCCCCCAGCATAGCCTTAACAGACTGTTGGGGCAAGTGTACAGACACCCACACACACACACTGCCACGCGCACAGACACCCACACAGACACTGCCACACGCACAGACACCCACACAGACACTGCTACGCGCCCAGACACCCACACACTCGACCTTCCACTCTCATGAAAACTCTGCAGTTAATGCAAGCCTGTAGTGGCATTTACAAACATGCGTAGAGAACACACTCATTAACTTGGCTTATATGTAATATATTGCCTCTCGCTGCAACAGTCATTAGATACATTTGGCCATGGACTTCTGACATACACTTGAGTACAAATTCAAGGCAAGAGCACTTTGCCCATAACTGTTGACCTTTTAACCTTAGGGAGGGGATGAAAAACATTCCTGCGCAGAAAGTCGTGGTCCCAGACAGTCACTGATAAAATCGTCAGCACTGGTCACATTGACAGATACCAGAGACACAGCTGGATGCATTGCAGACATACAGACATAAACAAGACACGTATTACCAACAAACAAACTACCTCGCCTGGTATATAGGAGGTCGTGGGTTCAATCCCGACCCGTACGCCTATGTATTTGGAGTTTGCATGTTTGGATGTTCTCCCTGTGTTTGCATTGATTTCTCTCCGGGTCCTCCGGTTTATCCCTCCACATTTAGAAACATGCATTTCGAGTATCTGGCTGCTATACATTGCCCACGTGATTAGCCACTTTGTTGAGCTATCATTTGTGGCCAGGTCGCTTCTAAAAAAAATAACTGTATAGCTCAGTGGGCCTTACCTGGTCAAATAAAATATAGTTTAGTTTTAGAATCCAGCTAGGCGCCCTGATCTTTACTGCGGCATGCGTTAACCGCGTGAATGATTATAATACCACTATTACCACAGGCCGTCTTCTTCACTCACAGTGGATGTTACACATCCCCTGATGGCATTCGCAAGGGCATGGCCACTGCCTGCTGGTGTCACGATCCTAGCTTTGCCAAATTTTAACATGACCCACGAATGACTCAAGTTGGAGATTATGCGTAGCATTCAACGCAACCTCACCGGCAGACTAACGCTCCGGGTCACTCTTGCAAAATGCAACAATCCTGTTGGCGTCTTGCATTCTCACTCGGTAAAAACAAAATAAACTCGCATCAAGTTTTTTTTGTTTGTTTGTTTCAATTCAATTCTTTCACCAATGGCCACGGAATAGGAGGAGCAGGTCCTGCTATGCTAGCTGTTGTCAAGCTTCTGCAATAAACTTCACAAAAAGATAAAGCTCCTTGCCATTGTAACCCGATGAAGCTATATAGATGCACGTTCTATTTGCAAGCGCTTATTAATTCTGGCACAACACACACACACCACCATGCCCTTACAGCCTCTTTTATAAACTACTGCACGGGACACTCATTTCAGGCCTCATCGCCCTAAGTGACGTCTCAGGAGTCACCGGCAGTCGAACCCAGCTAAGGGGAATCGTAACGCAGTGCTCCGAATGCTGTTCCATCACCGATTCAAGAAAAGACAGGAGATTCCTGAATAATCGTTGGAGAGCGTTTGGGAGCATGTGCTTTTGTGTGTACAGTGCAACGTGAAGGCTGGCACCACGCACGATGGGGTTCACACACACACATACATATATACTTTATGCAGTGAAGTCAGTGTGTTTCCATGTTTGAACAAGCACGTGTGGTGTTTTATGGAAGAGTGAATGCAAGTGCTGTTAACGAGCGCCCATTGCAGGCCGGTGAGGTGCACTAAAGGGGCTTTGTGTGGCCGGCACCGCCGATGTTACATGCCACACCAGGTAAGAATTAAGGTTGAGTGGACCTAGGGGAATCCCACGACTGGTTTAGATAATCACCGCTGATATTAGCCTTGGCCGGGAATCGAACTCGGGACGCCCGGTGTGTGGCACAACGTGCTAGCCACCACGTAACTGCACCCTCAACACTGCACACACACACACACGCAGGAGGGGAATGTTTCTGACCTGCAAAGCCGGTTTCTCAGTCGACTTGGGTGATTTAAGTCCTCCGCCCGTTTGCTGTTGGAGCAAATAATGTCTTGCAGCAGCCTGTAGCACCTGCCCGAGGGAGATGAGGTGAAGGTGGTGGAGGAGGGGGGGGGAAGAGATGAAGAGAAGGAGGAGGAGGGAGGGGGAACAGATTTTTTTTTATTGTTATAAGTGTGGATGAAAAACACACGCTCAAATCTTTGCCACTCGTTTAGCTCGTGCGCGGTGCTGTCATCTTGATGAGCAGCACGCTGCACATCATTGTGCTTTTCAATAGGCGGCTCCCTGCCTTGAGCAGGGAGACATGCAAATGCACTGACACACGCGCGCGTGCACGCGCTAAGACAAAAACAAAGACCAACCCCACCCCCTCCCACTCCCATAGCCTTGACAGACTGTTGGGGCAAGTGCTTTAATGAAGGCCGGCACAACGCAACGAGGGATTGGGTGGCCAGCACCACACCCGACTGCCTTTGTCTCCCCAGCGGCGATGCATACCCGTCGCACGAGGTACTCATTTGAGGCTGAGTCGACCTCGGAGAGGCCCACAACCGGTTGAGATAATCGCCACTGGCGTTGACTGTGAGCGGGCATCGAACTCGGGTCGCCAGGTTCGCAGCGCGGCGCGCTAACCGCTACCGCTGCCAAAAAGAGTGCACATACACAAAGACAAAGATCCCCTGCATAGCCTTAACAGACTGTAGGGGCAAGTGCTGTTAGCGAGCACCCATGAAGGCCGGAACAGCACACGACAGGGTGGGTGGCCAGCACCACGCCCGACCGCCTTCGTCTCCCTTGTAGCGATGTTTACACACCAAACCAGGTCCTCATTTGAGGCTGAGTCAACTTAGGGGAGGCCCAGGACGGGTTCAGATAATCGTCACTGGGTGTTGGCCGTGAGCGGGAATCGAACACGGGTTGCCGGGTTCGTAGCGCAGCGTAGCGCTAACCGCTACACGACCGCTCCCCGCACATAGACACACACAAACACCCCCTATAGCATTTTTTATAGGCAGTTGCGGCAAGTGCTTTCAGCGAACACATTAAAGCCGGCGAGATGCACACGTGGGGTGCGAGGGCCACGAGGAGCACCATGCCCGGCCACCTTTGTCTCTCTATCGCTCAAGTCACACTGGGTATTGTACGCATGTATGGCTGAGTTTAGCTAGGTGAGGACTAGAACCAGCTCAGCAGATATCACTCACCACTGGTGTCAGTCACGGCTAGGCGGCGAACTCAGGTGGCTTGGGTCCGTGGCGCCACCGCTTCGCACACCGCGTGCACCGCAGCGCGTACACGCACGCACGCGAATGGACGCGCTGATAGCCCGACAAGTATTAACACACGCTAACGCACACCGACAGCGCGTGCACCAATGCAACACGCGCCAAGGCAATCGATCTATTCGGTCGTTGGAATTTAATCTGGTAAGAAGAAGTAAAACATTCAGATGCAATATCGCTCTTGCAAGCTCAACCTTGGTGTGAGAGTACAATGCATCATTGTATTTGCATAGCGAGCGCACCTGTAACATTTCCAAACACGTTTTTTTCTTCCTCAAAAAGCAGGACGTTTGTAACGTTTGGAGGTGTTTGTATGACTGAAGCAGGATGCCACTGAATTTCGTTTCGAGATGGGAGACTACCTAGGTCATGGAGGAGAAGAGAAATTCACGCAGCCTGCACTTGCAGCGGGCCAGGGAACGGGCAGCATGGATGGCTGGGTGCAGTAAATTTCGAACAATGGGAGCAGCAGAGGAAAGGGGAGACCTCCGATTGATGGGTGTGAAATTATCACGATGACAAAGTCAAGATCTTATCGTAAAACGCTCTGTATAATAAATGGACGGGAGTGGGAGGAAAAATCGTGGCCAAACAAAGCGCCTCTTTATTTGCCTCCATGCAGAAACTTGTTGAAAAACTTGTCTCTATAAAGCATCTAAATCAAATAAAAATACTTCCCTGAGCACGGTTCAAAGCGACCGCACTGCAAGCGCACGGAAAAAAAGCGAACCGCAGACAGAAATCACAAGTAAACATCATAACGAGCACCCAAAAAAACCCACTTCCCACCAACCTCACTTGCTACAGCGGAGAAACTCACAACCCACGCGATTTCAACACGCGACGCCCCGGCGTACCTTGCAATGAGACTGATAAGTTGTCCAATTCAAAAGTGTGAATAATTTTTTTTTTAAAGGCATGCGTGTCTCTGAAGTGGCAGAGAGCCCTCGGGGGAGAAGCGGCTCGGGCTCGCCTTCTGTTTACAACAACGGCCGATGATCACACGACACGGCCCGTGCACGCAATTCGTTGTGCCTGCTCGTGCACCTCGCTCGCTCTCGCGTCGTTACACAGACACTCCATATATATATGCGCGTTCATGGAGACACGTGGCAGTAGCGAACACTGATGACTGCTGTACTGATGAGTCCATAGCGAAATAAATGCACCGATGGGAGTCCAGCGTTATGGGATGCTCATAGAATGAATGATGCTGTATAAAATTAAGTATTATTAAACACCAAACCAATCTACTGTTGTCTCTGTGTTCCACTGAAGGGTGGCCACACTCCCAACTCTTTTGAGAAATCTGGAACACATCCTTAGCATATTGACAAATTGTGTTATCAGTTTCGATTTGAAGCTTTCGTGACTGCAAGGATTCATCTTCTTTGGTTCTTTCGGTAAAGTCACGTAGAATGAGAATAAAATAATAAAATAACACAATAAAATTCTCACGACGTTTCGGCCACAACGCAAGCGGCCGTCTTCAGGTGAAAGGTACAGACCTGTCGGGACGACAGAGCTTCAATGAACGATGTTAAGATTCGTAGCGACTTTTAAGCTGGTTGGGAGAAGTGAGGCACCTTGACAAAGGGGTTTACATATCAATAGCTGAGGGATTAGCTGGTGACTGGTCACGGAAATGGCTATGTTAAAGTCAAACCTACACATCCACAGAGGCAACTAGTAATTTAGCATTGAAATTGCTAAGGGATTAGCTTGTGACTGACCAGTCACAAGCTAATCCCTTAGCTATTTCAATGCTGACCTTAGCTATTTCAATGCTGACCAGTCACAAGCTAATCCCTTAGCTATTTCAATGCTAAATTAATAGTTGCCTCTGTGGATGTGTAGGTTTTGACTTTAACATAGCCATTTCCGTGACCAGTCACAAGCTAATCCCTCAGCTATTAATATGTAAACCCCTTTGTCAAGGTGCCTCACTTCTCCCAACCAGCTTAAAAGTCGCTACGAATCTTAACATCGTTCATTGAAGCTCTGTCGTCCCGACAGTTCTGTACCTTTCACCTGAAGACGGCCGCTTGCATTGTGGCCGAAACGTCGTGAGAATTTTATTGTGTTATTTTATTATTTTATTCTCATTCTACGTGACTTTACCGAAAGAACCAAAGAAGATGTGTTATCAGTGTTATGAAGTTTATGAAATCTCGATTGGGAACTCACAGCTACCAATGCATCACTTTGTGTCCGAGAACGGCCGTGGAATTTGACATCATGGAACTAATTTTGGAATTAATTTCAATAAATCTCTTTCACCACACGAGTGGAGCATGTTATAATTGCCTCAACATAATTAACATCGCATGTCAATTGAACAGAAATGTTCAATTCTGATTGGCTGAAAACATATTAAAATACAAACCCAATGCAGCAGGAGCAGGAGGACCCTCCTGTAAACGAGTTATACAACGCTGTATGACTCTTCTGGAAAAATAAGTACAATTATTATCGCATGCGAAAAAACTAAATTGAATATATTTTTATGCCTGCGGCCATTGCTAATCTGGCCGAGGTAATGAAGTCGCCACACTTTAGAAGGCGGTTTAATCGCCGGTGACCGCCCAGACTTGAACCCGGCATCTCAGCGGTGGCAGCTAAGCACTGCTGGCCCGTGATTCCACCCAGCCAGCTATCACTTCGTGTTCCTTCAAATTAAGAGCGGCCTCGCTATTACACCGACTCAAACACGGCCGCTCAACTACCACGTGTTTAATTACAGTGGGTGGCTTTTGAGGGTTTGCACATTAAGACCAACTCACCACCGAGAGCACCTTTTTTTTTTTACACACTCCCTTGGGTGGCCACAATAGAGGATTTCCACTCCGCACCGAAGCACGTGATTAACCAGCAGTGTACTCTGCTTTGAGGATACCTCGCAGGCCACAGGCCACACAACTTGAGCACTCACTCACAGCGGAACCGGAACAAATGAGGCAATGCCATCACGCGTGTCTCCAGACTGCATAATCCACAACCTCGTGATATTTATATAAATGCAAAGCGAGGATTGGCATTCACCTGAATGTATTTCTTATTTTTTTTTACATATACAGCTTATATGCATTGTAAACTCTTGTTAATGGATTTCCTGGAATGATTATTCTTAGACCAAACAGGCTTGGTGAGCAGTGGCTACAAAATGTGTAAGCATGAGCAGAGTGTTATTGTAGTAATACAAGGTTGAAGGAATGACCTAAAATTAAATTACCCGAGATCTGTGTCTGGTTTACAATCAAAACCCATATATTGTTGCCTAAGACCTCGCTGCAAGCCAAAGCAAACACTGCAGGCAATAAAGGCTTAGACGACCGGTATGATGGCAATTGTAACGACAGTGGAGTTTTTTTTTACTTGAAGAATGCCCCCATCCGACCGTCCCATCGGGTTAAAGAATGAACATTAAAATGGAATCCTATTGTTTTCACGTCTATTTTAAGTTTCACGGAAGTTACAGCGTGTCGTTTGGTTAAAGTGCTCTCCAGCCTTGTTAAATGGGGACAACAACAATAACAACAACAAACCCCGACACAAAATTAGTGGCGCCACCAACAGCTCTTCACTCGGGATCTCTGAAAGATGAATGCGCGAGGCAGCCTCTCCTCCATTCTCTTGCCTCCCTCCCTCCCTCTTCTCGCTCTCGCTCTCTCCATTTTGTTCCACTGAAATACATCTTGTCGATCCTTGCACAAGCCAGCAGGGTTCACGCTATGATCAGTGAACTGACTGAAATTCGCCACCCCCCCCCCCCAAATCCCTCCCCCA